CTCCCCCGAGCGACTTTACTGCAGGGGGCCACAGGGGTTGCAGAATGGGACACTGCACCATGCCAGACAGATGTCCTCATAAAATCAACGCTGTGCCCTTTTTTTTTTCCCCTCTCCTGAAATAATTGATATATTTTTTTAAAAAGTCCCTTTACCTTTTGATCTGTCGGCTCACACTGAGCCCCGGGACCCGTGAATAGGAAACACTTTTAAATCAGTGAAGTCATGCAGTCGGTGGCTATTCTGTGTCCGGATTCTGCTAAAATAAATAAAACGAGCTCCTGATTTTATGTTCACCGTCCTTTCCCCCCCCCCTAACTTGTGTTTCCATTCATCCTCTGTCAGAAAGCTGCGTATTGCTCCTGGCGAGAGCTGTGGCAAGACAGCCAGAGGTCCAGCTGATCCTGGAAGCACATGTGCAGGGCAGGACTGTGCACGGACACACAAGGAGAGACCACTTTACCCTGCCAGTCTCCGAGAGGTGGGAGGAAACGTGATCAAAAGTAGATGCAAACACAAGGAGAGCTTGCAAATCCCACAACCTTAATTGTCAACACAATAATGGTCAAATTCTGTGGACAGTCAAACTCCTTTTTGTTTAATACAAAGATCTAATTTAAGTTCTATTTCCAGGCTGAGCTCAGTTAGATCTCTTGTGAAGGGTAAGGATGGTAAACTATTGCAATTATTTCCAGTGCTATTACCCTGTTTATACTGTACCATACATGTCCTTCAATAGAGTTGCACCTCTCAAAGTTATACCATTCTCCTATTCCGATTTCACTGGGCTTTAGTATGCTTTATTCTGCTTTATGATAGCTCCTCTTAACACAACCTTGTTTTTATTAAGGGCTAGAGCTCTCTGCCTATCTAGAAAGTGAATAAATCTTGACTGGTATATCCCTCACAAGTATAATTATTTCCAATAATTTCTATCTGTGTGCATCACAGTTTCTTGCAAGAGCGGAGGTGTCTAATCTATCTAGGGCAATGTGCTGGACATACGGCTCACTTTACTCTTCCTGCTATGCACTGCTTAAGTCAGGCACACCCCGGGCCACTGGGGAGCTCTTAAGCTCCACTGTTATTAAATGGTCTTTTAGAAAATGCAAACGCTGGGACAGAGATGGTCTCCTAGCTCACGCTTTAACAGGAAGTGGTGCTTAAGCATCGATCCATCCATTTTCTAACTGCATTATCCAATTCGGGGTCATGGGGGAGCTGGAGTCTATCCCGGCAAGCAATGGGCACAAGGCAGGGTACCCCCTGGACGAGATGCCAGTCCATCACAGGGAACACTCAGACACACACACTCACACTAGGGCCAGTTTTCCCAGAAGACAATTAACCTCCCAGAATGTCGCTGGACTGTGGGAGGAAACCGGAGCCCCCAGAGGAAACCCATGCAAACACTGGGAGAACATGCAAACTCCATGCAGACAGCACCCCAAGACTTGAACCCAGGGCCCTAGTGCTGTGAGGCAGCAATGCGCCACCTTGCACCACGGCCCTGAAGCAGCCCATTTATTGATCCTCCAGCCCCCTTAACAAACCAGGTTTCCCACCTCCGAGAAATTCCCCATCCAAAAATCAGTGGTTGCTCAAGCCTGCAGGGGGCGCCATTACCTGTGCCTTTCTTGCAGATGTAGGGCAGGTTGTAGTTGCAGGGCACATCGTTCCACTTGCCGTGCTCGTGAGCGATCATCACCACGCAGTCCTCGCCCCCGGCAAAGAAATTATCGGGCTGGTTCTCTCGCCAGTTCTCGTATTGCTGTGAGCCAGAAAGACCAAATCATATTTCAGGCCTTCGTTCTTGAAAGGGGCTTCTTAAAGACTTTCACAGCCTGGACGCTGATGTCTGTGTTAGACTTAAATCACGTGGAATTTCTCTTTAAGATTTAAGCAAATATACTTTTACCACACTGATGGTGACTATAGTTGCAAATACAGGTTGTACTTGTGGTTCGGGGGACCCACTATACTGAGTACTCTGGTAAATGCAGAGGGACCGCCTGTGCAAAACTGATGGTGAAACTCCATTTTTTAAATTAACACCTATTTATTACATGCCTGAAAAAACATGGTTAATGCAGGAAAAACAGAATACCTACATTGCACTGAAATGTTATATGAAAAAAATCATATGAAAGAGACTAAACTACTCTGTGGCCCAAGCAGTTCATGCACAGAACAACCATGTGCCACTATGGCTTGTAGGGTTGCTGTTTTCACCACACGTACAGTACCTGTGTAAAGTTAAGCACATCTGTGTATTAGTCAAATTTCTAACTCTAATCCTACACCGTATCAGCAACCTTCACCTGCAGATAAGTTGCATATAAAATGCACTTAATGTGCATAGACAACCATGCAAAAGCACCATGGGCCTTAGTGTAAGCCGCAGTTCCACAGGAAGACCTGTAGGGGGCGCCTCACCACAGCCATGGTGTCAGTCCACTGGAAGTCCTCCTCCACAGTGCGGTCGTTCAGCCCGATCCAGGCATTCTCGCGGCCCAGCCCTGAAATACAGCGGAGGAGTGAGAGGGAGTGCAGAGTGTGTGTGGGGCACCGTGCATCTGAAAAAAAAACCACAGCTCGCCTGCGACGATCTCGGTCGTGCTCTTTGTATCACAAATCCTTTATTAATACCTTGGATGCAAAACGAAGGCAGCGTCCTCCTCCTATGATTATAATTAGAGATTTAACAAGTTTACCAGTGGGTTCCCTCTAAAGGTTTAGTAAGCCAATCTCCTTATTATAATTAATATCATAATGAGGTGATCAGATTTGTTTGACCCTAACACATCATGAGAGAAAACTTTGCTGCTTATCCCAACCTTGCTTTGTTTGCTGTGCAGCAGATTCACAGCTGAAGCCTGACCTTCTGATTGCTGCTGCAAAAGTTCTCAGGGCTTTGCTGGTGATCACACGGAGCTGCTGTGTTCGATAGGGTTATTGCCAGCCAAAACTGACCGCGTTTCTTCAGCAACACTGTTATTGCTGACTAAACTGGACTGTGTTTTGTCAGCTAGGATGACTGTAGGTCTAATGCATTTGTGAGAAGCTTTTTCGGTGGCATAATTGAATTTCAATGATCCCGTTGCTTATTAACATCGTTATTAGGAACATTAATCTCATTAACGTCCTTAACGTCCTCGGACCATTTACTGCAGGGGTGGAGATGTGCGTTTGCCAGGCAATTAGGCCCACTCCTTTTTTTTCCCTGTTGCTGTTGTTTCTGAAACATTCACTAAAAAACAGCTGCATTCTTCGCCTAGGCTTTGCATGTGCTGCACGACTGCACTGACGCCAAGGCGATACCCGAGCAACGGAATCAACAGCGAGACGAACCGGAGAGAATTGCATTTCTGGATCGTTTTCAACTCCTCGCGCTTCATTTCAACCGGGCTGTTTTTCAGAAAGAGAAACATAACACAGCGCAGCTGAAAGAAGAGAAGTCCTCAGATCCCTGAGAAGGAAACGTTCGCCCCCACACAGCGAATGGACAATAAGGAGAGATTCATAACGAGGGATGGGATCTTTGATCTGTCAAACTTTCTTTCTAGTCCTTTTCTCAAGGTGACACTAATACCACATCTTACTGACTCCTGAAGGATCCTAGAGGAAAGCAGATCACAGCTGGAATACACAGGCGGCTTCAGATACTGAGGTACTCGGTGTGCTTCAGAGTAGTGCTATACTCTGTTTTGTTTCCAGAATAGCGCTACACTTTGCTGGGTTCAGGGGAGTGGTATGCAGTGCTGTGTTCAGGGCAGAGCTACACTGTGCTGTGTTCAAAACAGTGCTACATTGTAAAATGTTGAGAGCACTGCTACACTGTGCTGTGTTCAGTGCAGTGGAGCAACACTACGCTGTGCTGTGTTCAATGCAGTGGAGTAGTGCTACACATGCTGTGTTCAGTGCAGTGGAGCACTGCTATGCTGTGCAGTGTTCAGTGCAGTGGAGCACTACTACACTCTGCTGTGTTCAGGACAGTGCTATACTGTGCAATGCTCAGAGCACGTGTGTTCAGGGCACCAGGACACTGTGCTGTGTTCAGGGCACCAGGACACTGTGCTGTCGTTAGGACAGTGGTTTGCAATGCTGTGTTCAGTGCTCTGCGCAGTACTACAGTACATTCTGTGCTGCACTACAGTGTGATGTGCTATACTGTGCTGTCTTCTGCGCAGTGCTATACTATGTTTCTGTCCTGTGCCGGGCTGTTTTTTGTGCTGCACTACAATGCAGTGCGTTTGTGACCGTCGCAGGTCCTGGGTCTCCAGCGTAATGCAACAGGGGAACCAGCCGGGTGAGCTAAAGGAGACCTCCCCCAGCCCAGGCGGCTGAGGTCCCTGCTACGCGCAGGGAGGGCGATGACGTCACCGTGCCCAAACTAGCTCCGCTACATATTCTGTATAGGGCTATGCTATGCTGAAATATCGTGCTGTCCTGTGCTGTGCAGTGCTGGGCTGGGTTAGAAACTGTGCTGTGCTATTCTGCACCGCGTTACACCACATCCGTGCAATAACAGCTGCAACAGACCGTTCACAAAGTCCTGCTCCTCGGGGGTGTGGATGCTGGCCAGGTGCCCGTTGTGCTCTCGGCAGTCCTTCTCCGCGTCCTCCCAGGTGTGCCGGTGGGTGAAATAGCGATAGCAGTGCCCGTGGAACTTCCTCCAGTTGTGCTCACAGCCCTCAGTGTCTGCACAGAACAGAACAGAGCAGACCCCTTAGCCAGCAGAACCCCTCCGTGTTCTCAGGCTCCACTTGCAAAAGAATCTGCCTTTAGACTCTCTTCTCTGCCAGTTTTTGATTTTCAGTTCTGGTCCAAATAACAATGATCCCTTACACTTTCTGGACACTCCACTTAAAGCACTTTACAGCTAACGGGGACTCCCCTCCACCACCATCAATGTGCAGCACCCCCCACACCCACACCCACACCCACACCCACACCCAAAGAAGGCCCTTAGCTGCTCAGTTGTCTCTGCTGGATGAGTTGGGGGAGCTTTCACTGTGTTGGAATTGGTCTTTTCGCAGACCCCAGCTTGCTCTCCATGAGACACACAGACAGGGAGAGAAGCTGGGGGTCAGAGCGCAGGGTCAGCCATTTATACGGCGCCCCTGGAGCAGCTGGGGTTAAGGGCCTTGCTCAGGGGCCCAACGGAGTAGGATTCCTCTGCTGGCCGCGGGATATGAACCGGCAACCTTCCAGCCACAGGCGCAGATCCTGAGCCACAGAGCCACCGCTTCCTCACCTACTACTTTAAGGCAATAAAGCCATTATTGGTTGTTAAGAGAGACTTGGCTGGGGGACACATTTGAGCTTCTATTATTGTGAAATAGGAATTCCAGACAATTAAACAACGTTAGTTACAGAACAGAGGTCCTCTGTGGCAGCAGAGAACAACGCTAATTCTCACTGAGGTGCAGCTGAGCCACTTCTGTCTGAGATGCACATAACATACAGTAGCTCCCCTTCAGCCCCGAGCTGCTCAGCAGTTCCCCTGCAACTTTTCCCTCTGTCATATAATATTCCCCGTCAATCCCGAAAGCACTCAGTGATCCTTCTTAATACCAGGTGCAACAAACACGAGGCAGTGGATCTTGTTTAAAAAGCCTATTCTGCCCTGCCTCGTACTTTTTTTTTCGGGCTGCGTCACGCCCGTTTCCTGTTTTTTTTTAAATCGGTTACAATACAGTTATAACTCTGAAAACGTATCTTTGCAAGGCTAATACTCTGAAAATGGCCAGAACCCTTAATGGGGAAAACCTGCTTTAGCTCAGGCAGTGTTTGTTAATTATGCCTGGTCAAACACCAGTGCTGGAGGAATATCTTCCTCTCCCCACAGAGGCCGAGCCCCAGCCCAGGCAGCACGTATAATTAGCCAGGAGGCAGGGGAGGTTAACGGTCAATGAAGCCCACCCCGCTGCCCCCCAGATGCGGGCCTGACGAGTGGCGCTTTGAATGCAGAGAGCAAGGCTGCCCCCTTCGCAAATCTGAGGCGACACCTGGCAAATTGGCTGGGCGCAAACTGGCCGGCCCAGCGCTGCTTAGCATGCAGATCGATGCAGGGAAGACAGAGAGGAGAAAGCCCCTGGCAGGGGGAGAGAGGCTGGCAGGAGGCTCTCCGTATGGAGGGCTGTATTTCGAGACACCAGCTCTGGGCGTGTCAATTATAATATCGAAAGCAGTGGCAGATTGTCACAAGTCCCGGAGACGGGGCTTAAAAACAAAAATTGGTTTGGTCATTTTACAACAGATGAAAGCAAATTAAACACTCATTTTTATTGCTACTTTTTTCCCTTTCAGCTTTGGGTGGCAGCATCGGATTGAGGCTTCTCTGGGCCCTGCTGAACTCCAGCAGATCTATAGTCTGTGCGGGTTGCTCTTTTACAGTGTATACAGTACATGCTCAAGATTGTGCCCAGGAATCTGTGCATGTGTTTGTTTGCTGCATGTGTGTCTTTTCATCCCGGACAACAGTAGGGAACAGTGTGCAGCAAATTGCTTTCTGCCCCTGTGCTAGACAGCCAGTGCCTGGAGAAGGGTCACAGGACTTGAGCTCCCCACTGCCTCCCTGCCTACATTTAGATCGGGATGATAGAGCAAGGACAGCATCTGCAACACAGCCACTTAATCTACACACTCCTCCCAGCAGGCAATGCCTCACACAGACACGGTGATGGTGATTCAGAATCTCACTTCAATTTTCACCCTAAGCCCCCCCACACCTCCTCGGCCTTGTGTCTGGGGCCCGAGGCAGGCAGTGTTCGAAGTGGCGCTTAATACCGTGGCCGGCGAATCTGCCAGGTACCCCCCCATTGGACCTGGACTCAGTGCTCTGGGAGCAGAGAGGCCCATCTCCGGCCAAATTGAGTTCAATTACAGAGTCGGGATGAGTGACAGGGAAGCAGAAGTGGGAGGCTGTGCACAATGAGATGCTCTATTGGGTTTTCACACACCATTCCACCTTTTGTCTCCTTTGAGAAATCAGGTTGGCAGCACAGATTTCTGCATCCAGTCCTGGGAATCCATTTCGACAAAAACTGATGCCTGCTGCTGGACATGCAGCTTGTTTAAAGCCACATTAACAGAGATACCTGCCAGACTGGGCCTTTGAACGCAATGCACTGCACAGACATGGGCACGCATGCATTAATATTCATTTTCAGTTTGCCACGCCGGAGACAAAACAGCAGTTTAGTTAGTATCAGGCTTGTGAAAACCAGCTCCACCATGCTTCTCTAATGCTCTTTGTCCTTTAATGTGGGATTCTACCAAAAGTCGCAATTAGATTTGCTAAGCTGGACATGAGCTCCTATTTGCAAACACAGGGACAATTAAAGCAACTCAAGGCTTTTCAAAGTGCGCAGGGTAGTGCTGGCACAGCGCCCAGGCGGCGTGTCTTGGAGTGCCAGGGAAAGGCCTGGCTACTGTAGGGCTTTGTACCTGACAGATTGTGAGTGAATCTCAGGGGGCTATTTCTATCAAGGAAATGGGCTTAGCAAAAGGGTGGCACAAAACTGCAATTATTCTGTATCTAACCAGCCATCTGCAAGAAGCTGTCTTTGCGATATGCGCAGTCTGCACTGTGTGTGTTACATTTCCCATTGAAACACAGGGACTGTTGCTGGGTGATGAAGTGGCTCCCATTTTTGCCTCTATTCTGATTTCCTGCAAAAAAACCATGTTGTTGTTCTGACAACCTCCCATTCCCTCGATCAGAATGCTGTCCAGCTGAGAAACCGGTAGTTCTCTTGGTATCTTTAACAGAAGCATTTCTCCTATCAATGAGGTAGAGAGGCTCAATGATCTTGTCTCATCTGTAACCTTTTTTTCTATTTGAGTACTTTTCCAATTAAAGTCTTTAACGAGCAACATTTTACAGGCTTTCTGCATTTGTCAGGCTACAAAAATGTTGATTGGACGCTCTAATTAACGTCATAATTGATAAACATAAGAATATCGTCTTACACAACTAATTAGCAACCGCAACTGAAGACTATAACATTGCATGTGTTAATATATCATACAGCCAGTAAATACACATTAGAACACAGCAAACTACACAGTTTCTGCTCTTATGAAAAGAAAAAAAAATTCTAAAATCCCATGAGCACACATCTAAGACATAATATAGACACCACCTTCAACCTTTTACTGAGAGAGGGAGACAGGGAGACTCAAAGATGGAAATAGGGGAAGTCTCTTCTTAAGCCCCTGATTAAGACGAGCGCAGCTTGTTAATCCGAATTCAAGCAGACAAGGCCAGTCCTGCTGTATTTACAGACCTGCCAAGAAGACATCAGCAAAGCAAACCTCTGTTTATAAAGAGGCAATTACAGATATTCCCCAGGGAGCCCATTAAAAATCCTTAAGAAGTGCCTTTGTTTCATCCTTTACTGTACGAACATAGAAGGTCAGACCCATGTTAAGCACAAGCCAGGCTTGCTTGTTAGAAATGTGGCACTGTACTGCAGGTATGTCGAGATATTATACTGCTTCATCCTACTACAACAGCTGGTGCTGACACTGTAGATTTCTCACCTGACCGTCCTGAAGGAGGCATGCAATTAATTATTTAATCATAATTAAACACCAAAAGCTTCCCCCTTAAATCAACAAAATGTATAAACTAGGTACTTTGTCATTGAAAAATGTATATCACGAGCTGTGCATCACAGCTGTACGAATAAATAAGTGTTCCCTTATCTACCAAGATATGGTGCATTGAAGCCCCTGGAGAATTGTGTTGTACTATTTCTGTATTTTAAACCACATTGTAGTTAACTACAATAAAACATTCCAGATTTCAAAAATAGCAGCTTGACTTACTTTAACAAAACTATCAGATCAGATAGCACTGTTGAGCCTTATTACCGTTTATCAGAGATCCTGCTATTTTAAAACGTTGATATTTTCTGAAATGCCAAGGCTAGGCTGTCATTATATTAAGTCATCTTCCTTTTAATTTTTAGGAACTGGTTCCTCTAACTGTGTTATTAGGTATAATAAATCTTCATTAGTTTTAATAATGTCTAAGGACCCAGCGGAGACAAGAAATTTAGCAACTGAGAGAAAGTCAATTAGATTAATTTCATAGCGCACTACTGAGATGCCCTCTTCCAGCACCCTGTGTTCTTGCAAGTGTTTGTTACATCTTCACAGCAGGACTGCTCCGAAAAAGTTTTCGGGACAAAATTTCAGTCTAAAGCCAGTGTCTTCTGGCCTTAACAAACTCCAGCCTCCTGTGTAATGCAGATGGGTTCAAACGGTCACTGTCATACTCACCTTTCTGGCAATGGTAGCGAAGAGTATTGTACTCGTGAGCACCTAACTGATCTCGGTCACTGAGTGCTCTTGGGTAGAGGAAGTGATGTCATCGGCGCACATGCAACATTCTACCCAGGGTGGGGCTGAAGTGGATGAGATGCTATACACCTCACCGCAAGCATGGAACCTTGTGGGAGCCCCAATACGTGACGTCCCCCAGCAGCTGGTTTCCTGGCCATAGGAGACTCAGAAACTCAAATCGCTCAGACGTGGCCCCACGATGCTTCTGCACTTGACCGGGTCAGAAACTTTGGCCATGAGGCTGTCTCACCGGACCTCTGCCAGAGGCCAGGTTCAGTGAGGGTGACCCTGGTTTTTTAAGTCTTCTTACTCAAGGCCCCAAAAATAGCCTAGAAAAAAAATCACCTAGTTTTCCAACACAAATAGAAGCCACTGCATATCACTGTTGCTCCTGTGCTGTTAACAAGCTTGTTTGCTTTCTTCCTGCCAGTGAGCATTCTTTGCTTTGCTACAGCATTTTCTTTCTAACCCACAGCCAGGCTTACATAAATCAGCAGACAAGGACACCTAACTACGCACTGGGGATTTAACGCCTTCATCCTAGTGTGTTTTTTCTTGGTGCAGAGCAAATATTTATGCAGCTTTTGTGAAAGAACCAAAAATACGCTATTGCTGAATCTCCAGAATACTGTATTATAATATAAAGTAATTTAGCAGGTGATGTAATAACCGGGTTTGAATTTACAAAGTGTTCATTTTGAGACACGGAAAGGCAGCAAAATAGATAAATAATACAGCTCCTGTTTGTGTGGGTTTTTAAGTCTCGCTTGCTATTGTTTTATCTGGCAGAGGGAAAACATTTGAAAACTATCTGTGAGCAAGTGAAAGCAGGGACTGGCAGCCTGCCAGCCAGACGAATAGGCAGGTACTTTTTATAGTGCAACAGGCAGACAAGTGGGAAAATCAAAAGGAAGCTTCAAGTTCAGATGACAGCTGCTAAATAAGACATCAATCCCAGAACTGTCACAGCGGAAAATCAAGCCCAATTTGTAATCAGCGTTTTGAGAATGATAGTAGAGCAGATCAAAGCTTAAAAAGTATGGGAGGATCCTTACAAAACACCTGCCTGTCACCATTTATTTATTTTAAAACTATCCTGGCTCCAGAATAAGAGCGACATGGCAGGAGCCTGTAGCGATTTCACTCCCGTTATCAAATCTTTCCCAATCCCCCCTTCAAAGGAAGAAAGACGGTTCCAATTTATTTTGTAGTTGAGTTTATCTAGTTTATTCGCTCCCCGAGCAGGGCTTCAGCCTTGGCAGTGGGCGAAAAGCTGTCCGATGGACTGGAGCCTTCCGCTCTGGTCATTTAACAAGTCTGGCCAATAATCCGATTGTCCCACCTCAGGGCGCAGGGGGTGGGGGGACTCTGTAAGGGTTCAGAGCAGCACACTTCATATAGCAGACAGGAAGCAGGCAGAGACTGTGTTTCTCATTCGAATTTGGTTTCCTCCGTGCAGGGGAAGAAGGACAGGTCACTCTGAAGGAGCAGAGTCTTGGCATGGTCAGCAGGAGAGGTAGATTGCTTTAGTGGAGACAGAAGGCGGCATGCAGAGATTGAGAGGCCACTGCTGGAGACTGCCAAAGACAGCAGCCAAAGGCTCTTTGTTCACAGTTTGTAAATTGGGTTGACACTGTTTGCTAATTGCACAGTATTGTTCACGGTTTAACATGAGGTTGTGCTGTATATAAGGTGCGTCTTTACTCCTCAACGTGGCTGGCAGACAGGATGAGGATACAGAGCTGGTTACAGCTGTTGTTGTATGCTGTGCACTGCTTGTATTATTTTCTGTCTTTAGACTTGTCAGGGCCCCAGAGGAGCTCAGTGTTCCATTACTCCTTTTCAGCTTGGTTCTGTTTCGTGCGTTAATAAAGCCGAGAGCCCTTGTTGACTCCCACTCTTTTATTCTTGTGTTGGAATGTTTCACGTGTGCCGAGGTCCCCAGACGGCCATCCGCGAGGTGTGAAACTTCCATAAAAATCCACTTAATTATTTATTTGCCCCCTTATGTATGGAACGCTTTAAGGGAGCATAGCTGCAGGAGCACAGCCGTATATTTAGCTGGCTCATCACGCTGGCCCAGTTCAGCCGACAGAGCAATTCAACAGTGAGATCCTGTTCAGCTGACACAAACAGATTTAAAGGAGAGGAAAAGTTCTCTGCATGCAGGTGTGTGTGTGTGTGTGTGCGTAGATGGCAGGAGTTGGAAGAAAATGTACTTATCCGTACACTCATCAAAAGTAATCATAAAAATTGCACTCCCATTGCGTGGCATTTGGAGATGCAAGGTCTGGGGAATTTGTGGAAAGCTATAATTGACAACTGGTAAAGCATTAACAACTGCTTGAGGAAAAAATATTCATTTTCCATGTTTTTCTGCTTGGACCACTTGTACAAGACCTGCAGCTGGTAAAACCCGAACTGGATCAAACTGGTCCACAACAGGTGGCTTGCACCCCAGTCTTTCCCCTGGGGATGACCTGGATCATCCCGCACAGTCCACACAGAACAGAGCGCCTGGAACTGGAACTGGAGCAACAGAGCACAGGGTCACCGAGTTCTCCCTGGCCCTTCTACTGCGCTCTGCCATAAAAAGGACTCCCACTTTCCTCTTATCTGACTGGGCAGGAATCGATTGCCCATGCCTCATTAGCCCTGACGCTTGTGAGCCAGGAGTCCAGCACACTCTGAAATCGAGCACAGACATGGCTAGCTGGCAGGCTGCAGGGACAGACAGGGAGCAAGGGGTCCTGCCTGCTGCCGATTACTAGCAGGGGAACTAATCGGAGGAAATTCTTCGGTTTTCCTGCAGGGCTGCCTCTCACACCACGCTCTGCTTTTCACGGGGGTGTCTGACAGAGTGAGAGACAGGTGCCACGTGGAAAATTAACAAAGATGGATACTTTTTTTCACAACAGGGTGACAATGCAGCTTGTCTCGTTGCTTGTAATCTCAAAAGGAATGACAGGGCTCATACACATCAGAAAGAGACCTCTGCATCGCTGGCTGCTACAGTAAACTTGATGGTATCTTTCATCTTCCATCCCATTATTTTGCCATGTATGCAGTATGTATTTGCTTTCCTAAGCATGACCATTGCATTACCATGAATGTGCAGTACATGGGACAGGAAACATTCAGCTTGTATTTGTCAGGTGAATGGAGGTTTTGGGGATATTTTGGGGGGACTATAGCACTGCTTCTACCTTTTTCACAGGTGGCCCCTCCATAGCTGGGCAGGCACAGGCAAACGAAGGAGTTGATCTCATCGATACAGGTGCCTCCATTCTGACAGGGGGTGGATTGGCAGTCATCAATGTCTGCAGGAAGACAACGATACAAACAGGGAGTTAGCGGAGATGGCCTTAAATCTTCTAACAGCCATAAGTTACTCAGCTTTGGTCTGGGAACCATTCGTTTCTGATCGCTGCTTTCACTTAAAAAAAATACTCATGCTACAGCTTTTCTGATTCCTTCCACTCCCTAAACAGCAAAGTCATCCCCACAGCCTTCTGGGGAATGTAGTTCAGACAAGAGATGCCATCTTGTCTCAACCTGCCATTCTATCATAGCACACATCCCTCCTGGGACAATGTTATCCACCCATGGAAAAACACAGAAGCCACCAACTGTGGCCATGAGGACAGATGCTGCATCCAGTCTCAGTGTTTCAGGACGTCCTGTACGAAGCACCACTGCGAATTTCAAATGTCATTGACAATCAACTGCACAGAACCTAAGATCATGTATTTATTTCCATTTCATCCTTTATTTAAGCAGACAAGTCAACTGAGAACAATTTGTTGTTGGTAACAATGACCTGGCCAAGGGACTTATGTTAACAAATTGCTGAAACCAGAAAGGTGGGCATGCAAACAACCCCTACACTCCAAAGACTGCTATCAGCTCTGTGCTCCACACTCAGAGGAGTAAGCAAATCTGCTAGCTGCAAAAACTCTTCAGCTTCCCGTGGTTCACATGAGAGGTAACTCAGCAGAGAAGGTATTGAAAGCAATCAGAGGGATAATGGACTGGGGCTCATTGGGCTTTTAATATTTGCTAGATTATGCATGCAACCAGAGGGTTGCTAAACACTTATGCCCATTGGAAGCTGGGCCATGCACAGATAGCAGAGAGCAGGCAGACAGGTCTCTATAAATAAACAGGCTGATATTTATCACAAAAAAAAAGAAAGTATAATTCTAATTCCCTCCACCACTGATGCCTGCAGGCAAAATCGATTAGAAACGCAGCTGGTATCCCAGCATCTCCTCAAGAATCGCCTGACCTAGCCAAGTCTCCTCGAGGCACTGGGGATGGGGGAGGGCAGAGCAGGTGATGTGGCTTCATGCATCTTCCAAGCTAGGGGGGATGTCAAGAGCCCTCAAAGGATTAATAAGCTCCTACTGTATGAAAACATGTGTTTCAGTGTGTAAGCACTGCTCTTTTTTCTCAAGCTGGAGGGGTAGTGCTAGCCCAGTCTGCAGCCTCGGTCAGTGGTGTGGAGTAATGCAATGCATACCACATTTTTGCATCCTTAAGTAAACCAACTAATCCAGTCACTCCCAGCTATACACTGTAGATGGGGAACTCTGTTCACTGGGAAGGATGGGGTTAAACTGCATCCTCTCCTTGTGTAGCCTTGTACTCTCCCTTTCTTACCCCCGCAGACATCAAGGTACACTCTCGTAATACTCAGCTGCTTAAGCTTGCGTGGGACTTGAATCTCACATCTACCCACACAGCTGAGTCAACCTTCCAGCGCAGTCCTGCTCACATGCCCTGCGTGTCTCTCTCAGACTCGCGGAAGTACAGCTTTTTAAAACGGAAAGACTACACGGACGGGATACTGTGAGAAACTAGGGAAAGCTGCAGAGCTCTGACTGCGGAAGATGAAGGTCAGACAAGCCGGAAATCTCCACACTTAAAAATCTTGCATGCCTGTTTGCTATAATCGGGCTAGGGGAATGGACAGCGTCTGCAAGACTGCGTGTTCGGACAGTGGAAGCTCTCCTTGAGAGCCATTTTTCCAGGTTAGCATATCCTGTCTGAAACCAGAATGCGGTTTTATTCTGCTCTCCATCTCTACAAGTCCTTTCTATCCATGTACGGCTGATTTATTACCTCCACTGTGAGGTGCTTCCAGACGTCTCGACGAAAACAAAAAGGAGCTATATGACATAAACTGTATTATTACTGCTGCCTCCTCGTGGCGATCCGAGCTGACAGGGGCTCGGTCTCTTGGATGAGTGGCGGAAGCAATGGGGCTGAAGAGCCAACCTCCTGCAAGCGAGGGATGGTGCCCCGGCCCCTTCGTTACACAAATCCAGAGAGCGGGGAGGTCGTGTGTGGCAGCATCTCAGGTTTTTCTTTTTCATTTAACCCAGGTTAGTACAAAGAGTGGCAATAAGGAAAAAAATGTAGTAAATAAGAATGAAATAAAATACATTATTACAACAATAATATTAAATTATTATTATGCATTATTATTTCAAATGCTTAGCACCTAATTTTGCCATTTTGACACCTTCGGTCTCAGGTCTGAGGTCCAGGATGCTGCTGGCCTGCACACTGCAGCTCTGAGCACATGC